AGGCTGCGGAGGAGGCGCCGTGGCCACAGCCAGGTTGCCCTGCCCGCGGTGCGGCTGCTGTGCCCCCGCTAGTCAGTGTGCTTTGCCGGCCAAGAGGCACCGAGGGAGTCACGCAGTGCTAAGGACGCAGAGAGGACAACACAGCAGACAAGCCGTGGAACACGCCTCATGAAACTCGTCGTCCACGGAATTCGCCAACAAAGGCAGCCCTTCCACAGGAGCTTCCTGAGGTGATGCATTGGGGTCTGAAGTTCTGGGTGGTCGCTAGGAGACGTGTGACAGTGATCCCAGCATGGTCCCGGCGTGGTACTCACGTGGTCCCGGCGTGGTACTCACGTGGTCCCGGCGCCTCTCCCAGCCCCCGCCGAGCGCCCACCGGGAGGGTCAGTGTCTCTGTCTCTAGCAGCCCCTGCTCACAGCCAACCATGCACACGGCACTGCCACTGGATCACACGTCCTCCGTGACGTGAACATCTCCACACCTGTGCGCCCTCCCAGGCACTGACAGTTCCCTCGGTTATTTATGAACATAAATCAAAACACAGACAAAACCTCTCCTCGTGAACTCCAAGAAGAAACAAAAACCTCTCCGCCCCACGGAGTAGCGGACTGTGTGTGTAAATACACTGACTGTCAAGAAAAGACTCCCTTTAAGGTGCCTCCTGGGCGGTGGGGTTACTCTCTCTCCAGGACCTCCCGACGCTGGTGGGATGGTCACTCACGGGTGTCAGTGTGTGTCCTCTGACCGGGACCAGCCGACCTCCACCCACCCAGAGCCTCTCGGAGGAGGACTTCTCCAGAAAACCCACTTTAACTTTATAACGTCCTCAGTTGTGTGTTAAATAAGCTAAATCCACAGAAACTGAAGTTAACCACATCAGAGCAAAAAGTAAAAGAAATGGAATTAGAAAATGTGGAGCGATGTTGGCAGAGAAAGTCCACAGCTCATCACGGGGTCTGAATGAGCCCGCGTCTCTCAGCCTCACGTGGGCGGCAGGCCCACCCCCTGCACAGAGGGTCGGCCAGGCTGAGCCCCAGGCCGGGCGGTTTTCAGGACAAGAAACTGAAGAAGGCAGCGCCATTCAGCATGAGCCTGAGTCGGGTTTCACAGTCTTTTGGAGACAACAAAAAGCAAATGCCCACACTGCCTTTTTGTTCAGTAACGGATACATTCATTGTCCTGTTCACGTTGGCCATTCAATGGGCAAGAACAGATCAAATCATGTTTCCGTATGTGAAAACCGTCAAGTGTATTGACAAGAGGCCATGCCAACTCAAGTTTTATTATTTATTTATTCACTAGAGGCCCGATGCACGAAATTCATGCAAGAGCAGGCCTTCCTTCCCCTGGCTGGGGCACCGGCTTCCCTCGCAGCCCCTGCTTCAGCCGGAAGGTTGTCCGGAAGGATGTCTGGTTTAATTAGCATATTATGCTTTTACTATTATAGATTTGGTTTTAAAATATTTTATTGGTTTTTAGAGAAATAGGGAGAAGGAGAGAGAGAAACATTGAAGTGAGAGACACACATCAATTGGTTGCCTCCTGCACACGCCCGGACCTGGGCCAGCAACCCAGGTACATGCCCTTGACTGGGAATTGAACCTGGACCCTTCGGTTCTCGGGCCGATGCTCTAACCATCGAGCAAAACCAGCCAGAGCTAAAAACTCATTTTCAGAGATGAGAGAGGCCACTGGGGTGAGCAGGGTTTGAGTCGAGACTCAAGGAGCCCCCGGCGTCCGATTCCCAGGGCTCTGACGGACAAGACAGAAGCACGGAGCAGGGATGCCCAGTCCCGTCACCTGTGCTAAGACAGGTCAACAGAGCCAGACCCGAACGGGGCGCCTCTAACCACCCGCTTCCCCCGCAGGTCCCGCCACCACCCCTCCCCGACTGCCTCCGCCGCCAGGTACAGCCGCCCAGAGGCTGTGAGCACCTCGTAAGGCTGTGGAGGTGAAACGACAAACCGACCGAGTGGCTTCAAGTATTTTGGGGGAAAGGAACACGGTGCGTAGAGCAGGTTCCGCCTCTCATGGCTACTAAATCCGGGCTGGCATTCGGGGGTGTCAGCCTGTGACTCTCTGTTGTGTGTTTGCTTGGGCACGTTCCCAATGAGGCCTTTTACACAGAGCTTTGGGGAACCGTCCTCGGCGTACGTCTGCGTCTGTGGACGAGGTGAGGGCTTCGCTGAAATACGCCGCCAGTTACACAAGCGGGTGGGGGTCTCCTCCTGCAGGCACCCCTCACCCCGAGCCAGCCCTGCCCCGTGGGGATGAATCACACTGGGAGGCAGACCTCCCGCGGCCTCCCTCCTCCACCCTTCTCCCCTGGGGCCTGTGGCTCTGCTTCCTCCCCTCTTCCCGCTGGCCCTGCCCTGACCCCCTTCCCAAGGGCAGAAGACACCCCCCCCCCCCCCCCCGGCCGATGGGGCAATCACACTCGACTTTGGGGAACTAGAATTTTGATCTAAGTCACCAGATTAGAAACAAAAAAGAAGTCAGACAGCAAAAAAACGCCATTGGTTCATTTATTTTGTATAAAGTTCATGGCCGTGGGGCCTCGTGACATTTCTTTTTCTTTCTTTCATGGTTAAAAATTCAGTCTATTAACACTGATGTCACGGAGACTTCTTTTTAGAAAATGAGGTATTTGGTTTACTGTCCCAAACAGTAAAGGTTTAGGCAAACTGCAACCATCGTCTATCAGGTGACAAAACAGCAGGGAGTGCAGTGAGCCCTGGAACAGCCAAGTCCCCGCAGGGACACCTGAGAGTCCTCGTTGTCGCCAAATGCACCGCCCACCTCACATCTAAAAGCAGCACAGCCTGACGCTCCCAAGGGCACGCCTCCCGCTCAGGACTCAGCGAGAGTGAGGAGGCGAGTGACAGAGGCAGGTGGAGACAGAGCGTTCCCACCGTCCCCTCCACGCACGGAGCCACGCGGCTCAGGGACGAGTGGGTGGCTGCTGCCCTTGTTCTCAGGTTTTCCATGATGTTGGCTGGTGTGGCGGTTGCTGGCGCGGAGGTGGCTGGCGCACGGGGCGGAGACCGGGCGCGGCAGGAGTGTCACATGAAGAACTGAGCCACCAGGTTGGCCAGGCCCAGGACGATGAGGAGGGCGTGGAAGAGCAGCGAGGGCCACGTCAGGCGGTCCTCTTGGCGGAGGGAGAGGATGTAGGTGAGGGACGGGTAGACGAACACAAAGGCCAGACCGCAGGCGGCTCCCGAGTACCTGGAAAGGAAGCGCCTGGGTGAAGAGCCATCCTGCATTTCGCCTTTTCTGATTTACAAGAAAGGTGACGACACCCTCCCCAGTCGGAGGCAGCAGGCCCATTGGATCCATTGTTGCTGACATACGCACTGGAGTTCCAATCATTCACCTGCTAAGTTACTATAAACCATTATTTCCTGTTCGTCTTCACGGTATCTGCTTGACAGAGAGAGTTTTACTCGTCCCTCGAACCTGGGCGACTTCCTCAGGAACATCTGGAGACGGGCTCTCTCGCTTTGATCTTTTATTAACTAACTAGAGGCCCGGTGCATGAAATCAGTGCACTGGGGGGGGGGGCGGTGGGGAGGTCCCTCAGCCCGGCCTGCACCCTCTTGCAGTCCAGGAGCCCTTGGGATGTCCAACTGCCGCGGAGGAGGGAGAAGCTCCCTCTACCATCGCTGCGCTAGCCAGCCGTGAGCCCAGCTTCTGGCAACTGACCACCAGGAGGCAGCTCTAGCGTTGTGTCTGCCCCCTGATGGTCAGTGCACGTCATAGCGACCGGCCGCTCTGCCATTTGGTCGATTTGCATATTAGCCTTTTATTATATAGGATTAGGCATCTGCGTGTGTGAGGGGCTGAGTGCATCTCCTTAAAGGTGAGCAGATGACCACCTCGTAGCGTTCAGCATCGATATCAAAGGTCGTAACAACACACCTACACCCCTGCCTGCGGAGTGGCACTGCCTCTGGCTCACTAGCAACCTGTCCGTGCGGCCACAGGCAGCGTGCTGCTCGCCGCTCTCGGGGAAGGTCCCTGGGACAGTGACTCAGCCCTGCTTTCTGTAGGTTCGGGGTCACCACGATTCCCAATCACTCAATGTTTCCCCCAAACGTCACAATGTCTTTGGGGAAATAGGAAGGAAAGAGCCCTCTGGGACCTGGGCTCTTCCTTTCTGACGACAGTTGACACTGGACTATGTGCTTTTTATTTTATTGAATTATTGGGTGACGCTGGTCAGCATGAACACACAGGTGTCAGGTGTGGGTTTCCATGTTTCCAGGTCTGTATATTGTACCGTGTGCCCACCCCCCGCAGTAAGATCTCCTCCTTCACCTCCTATTGGGACCTTTCTCCCTGGACCGTGTTCCTGAGCAGAAAGTCAGGGCACAGCTGTGGCCCCTAAGAGACCTTCCGGGTGCCCAAGACATGATACAATATAGGGGAGACACCACTTTCACTCGGGTGAGAAGAAAGGGACAAGCAGACGACAACGAGAGAAAGAACCAGCAGTGCCCACAGCTCAGGGGCCCTGGTGTTTCTAGTTGGGAAGGAGCAGAATGGACGACGAGACGTCAGCGACAGCAGAACGTGCACGTTCCCGTATGAAACCCTGAAATCTCACACAATTAAATAAACAGCAGCAACACTGGGACAGCCCCCAGCAGAGAGCACCCCGAAGTGCACAGCCCCCAGCAGAGAGCACCCCGAAGTGCACAGCCCCCAGCAGAGAGCACCCCGAAGTGCACAGCCCCCAGCAGAGAGCACCCCGAAGTGCACAGCCCCCAGCAGAGAGCACCCCGAAGTGCACAGCCCCCAGCAGAGAGCACCCCGAAGTGCACAGCCCCCAGCAGAGAGCACCCCGAAGTGCACAGCCCCCAGCAGAGAGCACCCCGAAGTGCACAGCCCCCAGCAGAGAGCACCCCGAAGTGCACAGCCCCCAGCAGAGAGCACCCCGAAGTGCACAGCCCCCAGCAGAGAGCACCCCGAAGTGCACAGCCCCCAGCAGAGAGCACCCCGAAGCGCACAGCCCCCAGCAGAGAGCACCCCGAAGCGGCACAGCCCCCAGCAGAGAGCACCCCGAAGCGGCACAGCCCCCAGCAGAGAGCACCCCGAAGCGGCACAGCCCACAGCCCCCCAGTACCTTATGATCCCGCCGATGTTGGGGTACAGACAGGCCATGCTCACGCCAGCTCCCACAATGATCAGATTCAGGACCAGAACATGGAAAATGCTAGGTGATGCGTTTTGGGGAAAAAAATAAAGCAGGCACATTATTACCACTAATGCGAGAATACACGTCACCGTTAACGTGTCTAAAGTCAGAACGTCTTGAACATGACAGTCACATCCCGCGGAGGCAGAGGCAGTGCTGGCACTGGGCCGCCCTCACCACCGTGTCAGAGGTCACTCCCCCACCCACAGTCCCGCTCAGTCAAATCCTGACGGCAGCTGGACCATCACGAGAGCCGTGACAAGCAGCAGTGCCCTAGCAGACAGAGTCCAATGAAAATCTCTCAGAACCCTCATCATTGGCACCCAGATGGCAAACCCTGCCTGGGCCACGTGGGAGAGCCGGCGGGACTGTGGCCGCGCGGGACCCTGAAACGGCCGGGGCATCGTCAGAGGGAGGACTGCACGGGCAATGGCGGTTCTGAAAGATTTGGGATCTGGGGCCATTTTTTCTGCTTTCTATGTTTAACAAATAGTCTGTATGTTACCACGTCTTTAAGGTGTTTATTTTACTTTTATAATTAGATACATTAAACCGAGGACAAAGGAAAATGGGCAGGATTTTATTTTTCAGACTCAGCCACTTGAGGCTGCTCAGCATTTACCATGAACAGAATGCCCGCTAAGTCCATGGACCAGGCGCTAACAGGGTCTGGGAGTCATTCTGGACACAAATAAGAACGATGTGGATGAGACCCGATGCTCAACAAACAACTCCATTTCCCCAGCACATTCATTCTCAAATGCTGAGCGGAGGTACGAGCGCAACTTTGAGCCCAAGTCGTCAGAGGTTCGTTAATCCCGACAATGATCACAGGCTTAAAAATAAAGTTATTCCTACAAAGAAGCGATGAGTCACACCCAGTGGACAACAAGGTGCTCAGGCTTCCGCTCCGACTCCTCCCCAGAAACTCCGCCTCAGAATCGCTCGGGGGGAGACGTGGGGGGGGAGCTTGGCTACTTCTGTGTTTGTGTCACGAAAGGAAACGAATGTGTGTCTTTTCCGAAGTGGTGGTTCTCCAAGTGCAACCACAACCCGGGGGAGTTCCCAGCACCCTCAGGACGTCCCCGAGGTGAAGCTATTTTTATAATCACACCAGACATCACTGCTCTGCAAAGCGATGGAGGGCAGAGTGCAGCCGCAGCCTGGGAAGGCGGGAGCCGTGCGGGTCCCACTGCTCCTCGGAGCCAGAGCCTCAGAAAAGCTGTGGCAGTGCCCGGGCCAGGAGCCAAGGTTACCAGCTGTGCCACACTCGGCTGGGCACACACCTTCTCTCTGAGCGTCCCACAGGAGGCACATCCGAGGCCCCCGCCGCGGAGCCCCCACCACGGACCGGAGACCAGGCTGTCCCGGGCAGGGAGCGGGAGCCCGGCCCGGACACCTCGCCTTCCCCCAACAACACTGTCACTCACCGAGGGCCACAGGCGAGGTCTCCCGATGGGCATGTGCCGGGCACTCTTGGAAATGAATGACACTTGTCATGCCAAGGAAAACAACTGGTGGTCTGTGTGGCCAATGACCAATGGAGTTTCCGGAACAAGCGAGGACTTTCAGGGCCGGTGATCGCCCCTGAGCCTTCGCCGGTGGCCCGGGTGGTGACACTAGGGGTGTGTGTTCTGACGCATCTAGTGAGTGTGCCCACACCGGGAGGATCCGGGAACCCGGTGAACCGTCGTGCACACGACTAGACACGCGGTCACAGACCCCTGGGGGACAGCGAAACGTCCACAGGACAGACAGCGGGTCCAGGTGATGAGCGTCAGACACAGCTGACGTCCGAGGAATTGCCCCGGCCAGGCGGGCAGAGGGCCAGGGCAGAGGCTCCCCGAGCCCCGAAAAGGCCCCGAGGCGGACCCGGGGTCCCCTGCATGTCCGTGTGCAGGCGCGCTGTCTTCATACAGTTACACGAACATAACACGGCACAACAGTCTGAATTCAGAAGGCGATAAGAGAACCCAATGATCGTAACTCAGACATTAAAGCGTTTTGAAAATATGAAAACGGAAGTTACTTCGGAAATAGCTATCATTGATAAACATGTTATTGATGTTAACAAGTAGGGGTTTGATTAGTGCTTTCTAAAGCAGTTAATATTTTTAAATCTCTTGGTCTCACTTTCTTGCGTGTTAAACACTGACAGATACACACTGGAGTTCCTGCGTCCTCAGTAAGCCCTAAGTGTGTGCAAGCGTGTCAGACCCGCGGCGGAAATAAAGGAGGCACGCGGCCCGCCGCCCAGAGTCTGACATGCTTGAGGGCCCGCCAGAGGGCTGGCTCTGAGGCGCCGTCCGCGGAGGGCTGTCGCTGGGGCGACTCCAGTGTGGCGCTGGCGGTGGGGGCAGAACGTCCTGTGAGCACAAGGGAAATGCCAGGCCTTTCCCCAGAAGGAAACACATTCCCACAGCCCACCCCAGGCGGGTGGCGGCAGCGAGCAGGGCCAGCGCATCCGCCTGGACGTTTCCCTCTGGCCTCCCTGCAGCGCTGTGTCCCGGGGCCTGTAAATGCAGCCGGGCACACACGGCGGCACCCGACTCACATTTCCGAACCCTCCTCCCGGACGGGCACCGTCAGCACCGGCTGCCGCCACGGCCAGCACTGCCGGCTCCTGCTTTTAGAAGTTTATGGTTTATGACCAACACATTCAGGACGAGTTCCTTGTTTAACGGAGGGCAGACCGCAGCCGTCCACCTCAAGGAAGAACTGATTTAGACCATTTGTTTGTTGGTTACTGTAAACATAATCCTTTTGGTCAAATTTTATCCAAAAGTTCTCTTACGATAACGTATTCCCAACAAACAGGGCAGGCCTCGGTACTGGTTAGTAGGATGGCTGTGATGAGACTGAGCGAGCGAGCAGGGGACCCAGGGCCACGGACGTCCCGGGCGCCTGAGCCTCACAGCTCCTCATCGCCAGTGAGAGGCCGAGAGCGACGGTGACGCAGGCAAAGCCCCTAAACTGACTCGGTGCCTCGCCTTCAACGGCAGCGGCCGCGTGTGAAAGCTCACGCCTGTGGTAACTGAGTGGACAGTAATCGCGTCATTCAAGGGAGGCCACCCAGGGTCTCTGCCTCCAGCTTCCCGCGGCGTGCGGGTCAGTGCAGCGGCGTCAGGGGTCCCTGTCCCGGCACAGCCCTCACTCACCACCGGGAGGGGCCACCGGGACTGACTGCACAAGGAGTTCTATTTCCAAAGCTCTGCAGGAGAAGGGCCGCGACGTGTCCTCAGTGACATTTCACCGGCAAAGGCCTGCAGTGGCGGCCGTCATAGGTCCCGCAGCCCGGCCCTGGGTGCCTGCTGGTGGGGGAGCACTCCTCACCTGGGGTACGGGTCCCCGAACACGTGGCCCAGCAGCTGGACCCGGGCCAGGTAGCCCAGGAGCGGGTACACGGTCACCATCTGGAAGAGCAGGAAGATCCGTGCCACGAAGGAAAGGACGTCAGTGCTGGGGAAGTTGTCCAGGAAGTTCTAGCCCAAGCGAGAGAGAGTCGTGTTAAAACCACGTTCGGCGCCCACGTCTGTGAGGTGGGATGCCTTATGCACCGTGAGCGCCGGGGCCACGAGGGGGCAGGGCCTGGCCACAGACTGTGCTCCTATTCCCTTCAGCGAGCCGAGTCCAGGAATGGAAAGTGTTTAGCAACTTTTACAGAAACACGACACCCCACATTGTTATTCTACTTCATCAAAGTATCAGGCTGGCCTGGCCGGCGTGGCTCCGTGGTTGAGCATCGACCTACGAACCAGGAGGTCAGGGTTCGATTCCCGGTCAGGGCACCTGCCTGGGTTGTGGGCTTGATCCCCAGTGGGGGGTGTGCAGGAGGCGGCCGATCCGTGATTCTCTCTCATCATGGATGTTTCTCTCTCTCCCTCTCCCTTCCTCTCTGAGATCAATAAAATGTATTTTAAAAAAGTATCAGCCTGCAGCTGACGTGGCATCAGAACGACAACAAAAGCCTTGCCCTCACCCGCGAAGGAGCCTGCTCCCAAGGCCCTATGTGACACCCGTGTGTATTTAATGGTAACTGAACCGAGGCCAGGCCTGCCTGCCTGGGGCATGGCCGCCCTCTCAGTGTGACCACAGAGCCAGGAAAACAGAGGAGGTGGAGGTCTGTCCCCGTGTCACTGTTATTCGCAGTCCATCACTAAATAGAACAGGGTTTCTCTCTATTTCCTCTCATGACTCTTCTCCATGTTAGTTTGGCTTCTTAAAAAAGTAGCTAGTCACCCTCCTGCCCCCCTACCCCCCCGCCGCCTCAAACACAACACCACGGACACTGCTGCTTGTGGCGACTGGCTTTACAGGGGCTGTCGTGTCGGGGAGTTTGCGGCAAACACCTGGTAGCCAGAGGCTTTGGGGAGGGACGTCCCAGGCTCACATCACAGCAGCCACTCAAACCTGTTTTCTTACCAAATGAGACATGACCAACACAATCATGCTGAAGCCCCCTTTACAACTCACTCGTGACACTCACACCCGTGACGCTCACACCCGCGACGCTCTCACCCGCGACGCTCACACCCGCGACGCTCTCACCCGCGACGCTCACACCCGCGACGCTCTCACCCGTGACGCTCACACCCGTGACGCTCTCACCCGTGACGCTTACACCTGTGACGCTCACACCGCACCTCCCACTGCACCCTCGGAGAAGTGCTGGCCCTGCGGGTGCTCGGTGGTCAGCGTCGCTCACGCTCTGAAGGGCGAGTCTGACCCCACGGAGGGTGCCAGGCCTCACCTGCTCGATGCAGTCCTTGGGCAGCGGCGGTGACGGGAAGGAAGCGAAGACCAGGACCCCGATGTACAGGTAGGTGAGCGTCACCAGCAGGTAGGCCACGGCCAAGTCCCTCACCTGTGGAGAGAGGGCGGCAGCTCACAGTGCGGCTCTGCCTGCAGGAAGTGCGTCCCAACAGGACAGAGACTGGCAAACACGAGGTCTACCTTTGGCTGTGCATGCGTTCGCGTGTGTGTACGCACGTGTGCGTGTGTGTACGTGTGAGCACGTGCTGCATACATGTATGTGGGTGTGTACATATCCCTTCTAGGTCCCGTCTGTTCACAGAAAGGAAGTAAAACAGAACCACGTGCTTGACAGTCTGATGTGTGGTCACTATTCTGGGGGATGCACACAGAGCTACCGATGGGCAGACGTAGGAAGTCAACATAAATGGTGGTTTAAGATGAGAGAAATTCTGGCTGAAGTTCCCAAAGCAAATTGTTTACCAAATGATTAAGTTGTAATAAAATAACGAAGCTAAGGGACTCCCAGAGAGCAAGAATAAGCCACTTTCAGGACGACCCACAGAGCTAACATTTTCTCCGTTTGGTGAAGAGCCCACACCTTCAGAGCCTGTGCAGACCAGAGCCTGGTGCGGAACAGGAGGTGTTAGATAAGGAAGAGACGCTAAGAGCAGACGGTGAGCGGCACCAAAGACAAGCTTCCTCCACAGCCAACAGCAGGATGCTCACCGGCAGCTGTTCATACAGCTGCCCACGCCACGCTGGGCGCCGCGCAGGGTGGGCTGCGCTCCTCCACGTGGCG